TGTGTGTGAGAGAGAGAGAGTGTGTGCGAGTGAGTGCGTGAGTGTGTGTCTGTGTGTGAGAGTGTGTGTGTGAGTGTGTGCATGTGTGTGTGTGCGCGCGAGTGAGTGTGCGTCTGTGTGTGTGTGTGTGTGTGTTTGGTGACAGGAGTGTATTGTGGTTGATGTGGGCGTCTCGAGTGCCGCTGCGTTCGCTGTGAACATTAACTCTGTTTGGAAAGTGACTGACTGTTTGATAACACGCTGTTCACTTTCAGAAGTGTGTTAATTATTACATTGTCATTGCTTTTACAAAAAGGCAGCAGCAGGCAAAAGTATTAAAAATGATAATTGGAATAATGAATTAGAGTGACCAAACTGCGTATTTTCACTTTTTAAAAAAAAATTTATTTCAATTGTGTCTCATCCAATCAAAATCAGTCCGTTTTATGAATGTATTTTGTACATATTTATATATTATGGCAAACTATCTACACTCTTGAAAGAAAAGTTTCTAGATTGAACCCCACTGAACGTTTTCTCGAAGAGTGTAATTGGCTGGTTTTTGTGTCGCTTCCTGTGACCCCTCCCATCTTCCTCGACACTAAACAAAGGTCACGACCTTTCCTTTCCCCTCAAATGGTTTTTAGTAAGCGAACTAAACTTTGCCAATGCTTTAAGACCCTCAAAATACACATCTTTTATTTCTTTCAGATGTTTTACTATTATTTTTAAGAGGGATAACCATTTAAAAAAAGTTACACGTTTCGGGTTTGTATGGAGTCCCATTAGGTGTCAAAAGAACTTTTTGTAAAATGGTCTATGGAGTTATATTAGCGTCAAAACAACTTTGTAAAACATATTTTGCTAACACTTTTGGGACTGAATTTTGTTGATGAACATGAATATCTATGTCTATTGATGATCCATCGCAGCATGAAAAACATCAGTTTTTCATCTGAAAGTGAAAGTTTATGCAAGTAAAATTTATTTATTTTGTTTGAGATTTTTCAGAGTAATATTTATGTTGTTTTGTTTTATAAATTTGGATTGTTTCATGAGCAATCATGAGTTATAAATTCAAAGGAATTTAATGAAATTCCTTTCATTCCAATGGTGTTAATACTGATAATTCTCAGATTATATGTTTTTATAAATTTCACACAATGATATTAAAATAAGGTTTCTCATCAGTGTAAAAAAAAAAATTTGCACCAGTTTTTTTTGTGGTTCATGTGTAACAAATATAGACAAGAGTTTCCTCTCATACGAGAGCTTCATCTTATCAGATGAGGGAGAAACACGTCTGACAGGTCAAATAAAGCCGGAATGACTAAATCAAACAAGCGTCTCCACCATCGTGACCTTCAGCAGCTCTGGAGACACTCCGAGAGACGGAGCTGCAGTCATCGACTCTCAGTGACGCTGTATGTCTTGTGCAACAAAACACAAGGAGTTTAAGACGGAGCGAGTTCAGGGTCGTGAGATTTATGAGGCGTCTGCACCGAGGTCACGAAATCAAACTCCGTATCCCCAACACTAAAGCAACGACTCTCATTCATCATCTTCATGCAAACAGCCCTTGTTCTGCTGACTGTGAACAACAGCGAGCGTAGACGAGACTCCCAGAGCCGTCAGGCTTCAGAGAGGAAAAACAAAAGCCCGTCGTTCCTGGAGATTTCTAATCAAGAACAGGAAAATCTTAAAAAGGAAGGTTCAGCCTTGACGCTCTCTGGAATGAAAGCGAGGGGCTTTGATTCACGAAAAAAAGAGCCGCTTTGTAAATATTTCGTTTATGGGAATGAATCACATTTGTTTTTCCTTCCGGCGATGCCACATCTGTGCTAAAGATGTCCAGCGTGATTGACGGATCGCTCGCTCTCGTTCCAGAGCCGTAATCATTCAGGCTGCTGCCGAAACTCTGCTGAATGCAGACAAAGTGACAAATTAAAGTTAATCTGTGACTTCCTGTCTTCACAGGAAACAAAGTGAAAGCTCAGGGTGAAACGCTTCGACCCCAGAAAGAACACGAGGAGAGATTCAGTCAAACTGAACCGTCAGAACTGTAGGGTCATATAACATTGAGTCCCACTGAATGTGTTTTTAATCATTAATCATGGTTTTAAGATGCGAGTGTGTTTGTGCGTGAGTGAGAGAGTGTGTGTGAAACTGAAATTCTAATTCAGGAATTGAATCGGAATTTAAAAGCCATCATTTCAGTTCAGTTCTGAATGGCGCTCAGCCCCTGGTTTGTAGTGTGATAACTACTTTATTAAAATGAGATAAGCCCAACCTAATTAAAGGGATAGTTCACCCAAAAATGAAAATTCTGTCATTAATTACTCACCCTCATGTCGTTCCAAACCCGTAAGACCTTCATTCATCTTCGGAACACAAATTAAGATATTTTTCTGCATTGATATCAGGGATCAATCCAATGCAAATCTGCAGATTTTTGTGGGGAAAATTGGTGTACTGTATATAAAGGCCCGTTCACACCAGGAATGATAACTATGACAAAGTTTCAATAATCACTGTAACTATAAGAGAATAGTGGAGTCACATCACAGCTATATGATATGGACTTTTTTAATATCACAATTCTGATTTTTTTCCCCCTTGCAATTCTGGGTTTATATCTCACAGTTCAGAATTGTTCTCACAATCCGAGAGCTTTCTGACCATCTATAGACAGCAAGAAAACTACCACGTTCAAGGCCCAGAAAGGAAGTAAGGACATCATTAAAATAGTCCATGTGGCATCAGTGGTTCAACCATCATTTTATGAAGGTATTTTATGAAGTTTATGAACCATGCATAATCTAGATTTAAACTGACAGAGTGTGCCTGCCTCCCGAACAATGCTAGGTAGATTGTTCCAGAGTTTGGGCGGTAAATAGGAAAAAGATCTGCCGCCCGCAGTTGATTTTGATATTCTAGGTATTATCAAAGATTCCTAACTGATGACGAGGAATTAACAGAGCAGCCATCAAGTGTTAGACAGTGTTCTAGATTATTACATGCAGAGGTTTTTGGTCCGATAATTAACACCTGCTTTTTTCAGAATTTAGCAGTAAGAAATTACTCGTCATCCAGTTTTTTATATCAACTATGCATTCTGTTAGTTTAGCAAATTGGTAGGTTTCGTTGGGCCATAAAGAAATATAGAGCTGAGTATCATCAACATAACAGTGGAAGCTAACACCATGTTTCTTGATGATATCTCCCAAGGGTAACATGTAAAGCGTGAAAAGCAACGGTCCTAGTACTGAGCCTTGTGGCACTCCATACTGCACTTGTGATCAATATGATACCTCTTCATTCACTGCTACGAATTGATGACGGTCAAATAAGTAAGATTTGAACCATGACAATGAAATTCCACTATTTCCAACATAATTTTCTAGTCTATTCAAAAGAATGTTGTGGTCGATAGTGTCAAACGCAGCGCTAAGATCCAGTAGCACTAATAGAGAGATACAACCACGATCAGATGATAAGAGCAGGTCATTTGTAACACTGATGAGAGCAGTCTCAGTACTATGATACGGTCTAAATCCTGACTAAATCTAAGGAGGAACATAGCTGACAGGATACTGCCTTTTCTAGACTCTTTGACAGAAAAGGTAGATTTAAGATCGGTCTGTAATTAACTCATTCTCTAGAGATAAAAGAAACGGTAGGCGCGAATGAAGTCTACATAGTGTTTGTGGTGTGACAACTATTAAAAAGTCTAACCCTAAACCATAACTCTAGTCTAGTTAACCCTAACCCTATTCCTCAATGACACGATTAAATCAGAGTTGGAGTTTGTGTCTTTTAGTTCATGTCTGTCGTTTGGAGCTCAACTAGTGAAATTAATCGACTTTTAGCATAAAAGCACTTCATGTTCAGTCTTTCGTGTCTTAAGCAACTAAAGAGAGCAAAAATATTGCTGATGGCATGATCTTATACTCACAGGTGTGTGTAATGATCAGGGGTCAGGAGGTCAGCTGCTCGTCTCACCCTCATCTCATGACTTCCTGTCAGACAGGATGTGGTTTCTGATGTTTTAACCGTCTCTCTCTCTCTCGGTCTGTTCCAGGATGAGCTGTAAGGTGGCGCTATGGCTGCTGCTAGCCGGCCTGCTGTGCGTCGCCTCCACCGGCCGTAAGACCCGACCGCAGGGATCCATCCCGTCACCCCACAAAACCGGCTCCAACACCTCCGACCGGCGTGCCCGCAAACAGGAAGTGCTGGCCTCCAGCCAGGAAGCTCTGGTGGTGACGGAGCGCAAGTACCTGAAGAGCGACTGGTGCAAGACGCAGCCGCTACGGCAGACGGTCAGTCAGGAGGGCTGCAAGAGCCGCACCGTCATCAACCGCTTCTGTTACGGCCAGTGCAACTCCTTCTACATCCCGCGGCACGTCAGGAAGGAGCAGGAGTCCTTCCAGTCCTGCGCCTTCTGCAGGCCGCAGCGCTTCACCAGCCTCACCGTGGAGCTCAACTGCCCCGACCTGCAGCCAGATGTCCGCTACCGCAAGATCCAGCGCGTCAAGCAGTGCCGCTGCATGTCCGTCAGCGTGTCCGAGTCTGGGAAACAGTGAGATCCTGACGACGTTCCACTGGAAACACCTGCTGCTAATCTGAGCTGAAAGACTGCAAGGCTTCATCACGTCATCGCAAGACTGTCCTGCTGGACACCGGTCAATATCGGTCAGCACTAGTGCCAACGGTCACCACTGATCACTATCGGTCAGCACTAATGCCAACGGTCACTACTGATCACTATCGGTCACCAATGGACACTATAAGTCATCATTAGTCACTATCGGTCATCATCGGTCACCACTAGACACCATCAGTCACCAATGGTCTCAAACAGTCACTAGAGAGTGTGTGGAAACAGACTGACGTGCAGAGAATTGACTAAACACTGAACTCTATCCAGGAGCTGCTGCCTGTGTGACGACTGATGATAGCTAACACCAAACATGCATAACTAGACTGATTATAGAGATTCTATGGAAATATGGTACAGCAAAAGTATATATATATGTAGAGAAACAACTGAAGTCTATATTAAAAATATTGAGTTCTATTCTTGTCTTCTGTTCTTGAGGAGTTCAGTCCAGAGCTGACATGGGAAAACTAGCCTTCATGTGGTTTAACCCAGTCGGGTTTTCTCCATTGGTTAGTACAGTTATCTTGCAGTAGAGCTTGATTTGCACCATTTAAAAACCCTGCAAGATTCACATTATTACGTTTGAGAACCTCAGTGATCAATCCAATGCAGATCCAATGCAAATCTGCAGATTTTTGTGGGGAAAATTGGTGTACTGGATATAAAGGCCCGTTCACACCAGGAATGATAACTATGACAAAGTTTCAATAATCGCTGTAACTATAAGAGAATAGTGGAGTCACATCACAACTATAAGATATGGACTTTTTAATATCACAATGTTGATTTTTTTCCTTGTAATTCTGGGTTTATATCTCACAGTTCAGAATTTTTCTCACAATTCAGAATTGTAAGATATTAAGTCAGAAATCAGAGAAAAGTAATTCATTCTTTTTTAAATTTATATCTTGTAGTTATGACATTTTTCACAGAACTGAGTTTATATCTCAATTTTGAGATTATATCACGCAGAAAGGAGAAAAAAGGCAGAATTGCAAAATATAAGCATGCAATTGCGAGAAAAGGTCAGAATTGTCAGATTTAAAAAAAGGCGCAATTACCTTTTTTTATTTTTTATTTAATGGTAGAAACAAAAACAATTGCAAGATGTAAACAGAATTCAGAGAAAAGAAGTCAATTGTGAGTTCTCAGTTTATCTCTTGCAATTATGACTTTTTTTTTTCTGAATTGCAAGTTTTTGTCTCACAATTTTGAGTTTCTTGCGTGCAAATGTCGTTTTTCTCAGAATTAAGAAAATTGTGAGCTATAAACTTTATAAAATGTAGAATTGAGATAAAAAGTTGCAATTACCTTTTTTATTTATTATTATTTTTTTGTCGCAGAAACAGGCTTCCATAAGATAACGATGATTTTCAGAGTGATTTTGCAGATGTAACTTAAGTGTGTGCTTATAATAAACTGGTGTGGACGCTAATATCAACCCTTTTCCTACGTGCATTATTTCCATTATCTGGAAGAGTGATAGACAATTCAAAGTGCTTTCCCTCATTTTGACATGAATAGTATTTCCCTGCTTTGAAACCTTCCAGTAAAGGGAAGAAAAAGACATTGTAAAATATCCACATAAAAAACAAACCGGGAAAGAGACGTGGATGAGGATTTGGGGAGATTCGTATGCATTCCAGTGAATTTTTTTTATGGGATATGTTCATTAAATCAGAAGAACAGACCATGAGAATGCAATATCTGTTGCCTTTTCCATATTGTTAATCCTATTATTTGAAATGATTTGTTTGAAATTAAGTTTTTGGTGTGAACGTCCCTTTAACATGGTGAAATGTGTTAAACTGAGCTAAGCGTCCTGAATTCTTATTAGTGTCTGAATAATAACCAACAAAATGAACCAAAATGCTTGTTTGAGAATCCTGAAGAGATTCATAAGATAAGATTCCCATGGCGAATATGAAAGTAAATCTCCAATCGTGTGAAATAAATTAAAATTTCTGAATTTATTAATCCCTTTATTTTACATAAATTACACTCTTCTCAAAACGTTCCGATACAAACAGTTATTGCACATGGAGCGCAGACACCCATCCACACCTCCGACACGCACATGCTAAAAACAAACCAGAATGCTACATAAAGATGTTAATATAATTTACATTAATTTAAAAAACATCTTCTTAAATACATCGAGTGAGTGAGTGAATGAGTGGATGCAGCAAAACCAGAAAACAATCTTGCATAATTTCACAAAAACACTGAGTTGATTCCTGATCGTTCGCTGCTGTCTGATCTGATTCATACTGTACATACTGGAGTGTCTCTTTTAGGTCCTGTAGGACTGGAGTGTGCTTTGAACATGTTAACTGGGCTGAAGACTACAGGACTAAACTGCACTAACTAGTGTTGGTTTAAAAGCGTCTGACGGTGCCGATGTTTAAAATGAAGATGCATCGGAAATCCTGATTCTCTCATCTTTTCTGATCTGTTAAAAACAAAATGACTTTTTTTTGATGATATTGCTTCAGTCCTCCAGTATGTATGGTGGAGGAAACGTCTGATATGTTCATCGGTCAGGACACAGGATATGACATCACATTCAGACGGCGGATCACTTCCTGTGTGGTACGACAGGTAACACTGAAGCTGCTGCGAGAGCGATTTACAGATGAAACGGCACAAGAGCGTCCGTCTGTCAGTTCACATCCGCCTCAGATCTTCATGCCCAGCTTTGCTTTCTGAGAGGAAATAAGGACGCTCATTTAGTGATGAAAGCACATGCAGCACTCACAATCTCAATTTACATCCCGAAAGTAAATCTGCATGTGAATTTCTCTTAGCTCACTGGAAACACTTTTATAACGGTCAGTGCAGTTGCTGTAGGACTAAAGCCGCATGACAAGTTAATTATCATCTCAGAATCATGAGGAGCGATTAGAGATGTGCATCCAAACTACAAGTCAAAGCATCTGAGCTCATATACTTACGGCCGTCAACATGTGTTACTTATGGAAGCCTGTTTCCGCCACTAAATAAATAATTAAACAAGGTAATTGCGACTTTTATCTCACAATTCTGACTTTTTGCTCGCAAAAGTTTACATCTCACAATTATGACTTCTTTTCTCAGAATTTTCTGATATAAACTCGCTATTGCATGTTATAAAGTTCAATTCTGACGAAAAAGAGAATATTTTCTTACAATTGCAAGTTTATGTCTCTCAATTCTGACTTTCTAACTCACAATTGCATGGTATAAAATCAGAATTGCGAGATAAATTGTGAGAAAAAAAGTCAGAATTGCTGGTTTATACCTCGCAATTCTGACTTTATAATGCAATTGCAAGTTTAGATCTCACAATTCTGACTTATTTCACAGAATTAGTGGCATTAGTGGAACTGCATTGTCATGGTTCAAATCTTACTTATCTGACTGTCATCAATTCGTAGCAGTGAATGACGAGATATCATATCGATCACAAGTACAGTATGGAGTGCCACAAGGCTCAGTACTAGGACCGTTGCTTTTCGTTTTGCTTTTCTGCTATTGTCTTCTTGCATTATTGACAAACTATTTTCCTGTTTGACACTGTAAAACTGCTTTGACAGCCAGTATTGTATAAAGCGCTATACAAATAAAGGTGAATTGCAAGTTTAAATCTTTTTTTCCCTCACACCTGCATGATATAAACTCGCAACTGCGTTATAAAGTCAACTGTGATATTTAAGCTCACAATTGCAAGAAAAAAGTCAGAATTGTGAGATAAAAAGTAAATTATTTTTTATTCAGTGGCAGAAACAAGCTTCCATAGTAACTTTTAAAATGTAACACTGCATTTAAATACATTTACATGCATCTGGCAAAGTGACTTTGATCAGCTCATGCACACTCTGGGAATCAAACCCATTATTTGACGTTGCATGCGCATGACCTGCTGTATGAGCTACAGGAATCTCTCAGCGTCAGTGTTTTTGGCCTCTGCAGGTTCAGTAACTCACTCAACAGACATTCATGGAGTTTAATAAAGCATTTTAATCCTGTCTTTCATGTGCATCACTTCACTGTCAGTGATACACGTCATCTAATAGTAATGAAGCTCCTCACTGCATCAAATGGCTGGAAATGAAACAAAATTGACTGATTGTCTAGCTCGCTCTAATGATAAATGCGACTGTAAGGCATGAAGATATTTCAGTAAAGCTGCTTTGAAACCATGTGCGCTGTGAATAAACTGACTTACGATTCCAGACGCGTGTTTGGGTTTGACACTGTATGTGGCTTTTTCTTTGACCTGCCGGAAACTCTCCTCCGCCGCCTTCAGCCTGAGAAACACAACATGAAGAGAGAGAGAGAGAACAGATGGAGTTACTGATCCACACATCAGTCGGACTATATGCATAACATTATAAAAACTTTAAAATAAAACAAGTGGAAGAATGGGACTGGATTATTAACACCATAAAAAACATTACTTGATGAAAAAAAACTTGAACTTATTTTATTTCAACTAGTTGCCACAGCAAAAGTTCATTTTCATTTTGTTTGAGAAACTAAAATAACTCAA